AAATGGGCCACTGGATCTCTATGCCTATCATACAAGTTAAACTTTGGCATTTTAAACCCCGCGGGCAGATGAATATCAGGGAACATACACAAGTTATTGTAAGACATATTAGTTTGATTTTCCATCCCTTTCATGTTCTTTAAGGACTGTTCTATGCCTTTCAGCTTTTTGGATATCTCATCCCGCCCTTTTTTTCCTGCGGACTTTTCATTTTCAACATTAGGCTCATTCTGAGGGTTACGATTATACGAGTCCGGGACCTGGTGGACCACCTCTAGGGGTAGTATTGGGCATCATGAGGTTTGAACTGGTGTTCACTGTTGGACCTGAGGAGAGGTTATTGAGAAGTAGTTGATGGTGGGAATAATGGATATGACATGAGGGCTATTTTTGGGAAATGGAGTTGGGGGACGAACAATGGAGCTACTAGGGAGGTTAGGAAAGCTAAGATAAGCGGGAAAATCTGAAGAATATGGTGGATCATCTGACAATATGGCCGAGGCTTGGGTGGGGGTAGCATCTAGAAAGCTAGGTGGTGGCGCGGGTGGTGCATTCCCAGTCATCCAAGCCTCATACATGTTTGTCATGTGTTGTCTTAAGATCCTTACCTCTTCAACCAACCCAGTGTCTTGTTCAACCAATTGCTTTTGGGCACCAGTATCAACCAACTCAATTCCGTTGCCGTCTGCCATTGCCTTTCGACTTTATGTTGCAGGAAGAGTTACCAACTTAGGAACCACAAACCAACCACCCCTCTTCTAAATGAAGATAACAAAGAGGGAAAAAAATAAAGTCATCAGGTTAGCGTTAGGGCATTTAACATAAGATAATCTCACATTATGTGTAATGCACCTAGTCATAGTTATCAGTTCTAAGATGACTTCGAGGGTACGATAGTCATATTAGCATCATCCCAAGTTCACTCTCCTTACCCCTTTTCCTCTTCATTTTCCTTTCCTTGTGCTCTTTGGTTTTTCAATGTCTTCCCTCTCTTTTCTTTCTGATTATCGCTCTTTTCTTTCATCCCACAGTTTTCTCTCATTTTTCACATCCCACAACTTTATTTATTTTTTTTGTTAATTTTAAAAATGATTTGATCGAACCCGATGTAGGTTGCCTACGTATCATGTTCCACATAAATCAAATGTTGCGTAGTTCGGGAAAATAAAGAATAAAGAAAATAAACTAACTCTTTTTTTTTGGATTTTAATTTTTTTCTTTGTCTTTTTAATTTTCGAAAGAAAGACTTATAAAGAAGAAAGAAAATATTTTTGGAATTTGACTCTTTTTTTTGAGAATTTTTGAAAAGAAAAACTTCTAAAGAAGAAAAAAAATATTTCTGAATTTTGATTTGATTTTCTTTTTCGAATGAAAGACTTCTAAAAAGAAAGAAAATATTTTTGATTTTAAAATTTTTTATTTTGAATTTTCTAAGGAAAGACTTCTAAAGAAGGAATTAAAAGAAAATATTTTTGAATTTTTAAAAATTGGGGCCGGAACCAATGAGGTTTGCCTACGTATCTCACATCCGATGAGAATCAGACCCGCGGAGTTCGGCCAGTTTTGATGGAACATGGAAAAATGTGACTTTTTGAAAATATTGGCTTATTTTCTTTCTCTTTTTTTTTTTTAAAATTTTGGAAGAGTTTCGAAAATTTTCAAATACCTACCTCTCAATCCTGTTTTTTTTTTGTTGATTTGCTTTCCCTATTCTAGAATTCAGTCAACATGCATGCCGAAACAGACAGATGCGCAAGTAGCACGTAAGATGCATCAGGATGGTCTTTTAATTTGGGTATACCTATCCTAGAATTCAGTCAACATGCATGCCGAAACAGACAGATGCGCAAGTAGCACGTAAGATGCATCAGGATGGTCTTTTAATTTGGGTATACCTATCCTAGACGGACCCAACCCCTGTGATGAGTCCCCAAAGTCAAATGCACGTGATGCAGACAAACGTTCCTACTAGGGATCCGGCATGAGGCTGCATTCTTCTATGTTTAAACCTTGCGGTGTGGAGTTCTAGAAAAGGCTTACCCGAGCAGATAACTCGAGCCGGGGGGGAGGGGGCAGCGTACCGGGAATATAGAAGCTTCACCAGCTTTGTAACTTGTCCGATCCTCATTCTAAATTAGGGGTATGACTATAACAGAAAAGAAGCCACGCGATGCGCATGCTTCCCAAAAGATTTAAAAGACTCATAGAGAAGAAGGATGTCGTAACAGTTTTATATACAGTTCACGGCAATATCAAAGCGGTAAAAAGCGGCGATTAGCACATTAGGCCCAAACATGTTATATCAGACAATCACAAGAAGCCAAGTATAACAGTCATCTAAGCTCGAATTCTGAACCCTGAACCAGAAGTTCTGGGTTCGTGTCCCCAGCAGAATCGCCAGATTTGTCACACCTCCTTTTTTTCGAGGGGATAGGGGAGTTTTTTCAATTAAAGTGACATTTTTCGAAATGGAATTATTTATTTAATCAGAGTCACCACTTGGAATAATTTATGGTGTCTCATGTCACCGGTTTATTTTAAATCCCAAATCGAGAAAATTGACTCTATTTTTACGGTCCGCGAGAACAGAAGACCGGGTAAAGAATTTTGTTAACCTGGGAGAAGGTGTGAGGCACTCCCGAGTTCCGTGATTTTAGCATGGTCGCTTAACAATTAATACTTGGCCTAATTATCTAATTTAATACATGTTTAAAACTTATTGTGCATTTTTAACTTTTTAACCACTTTTAATTTTTATAGAATTATTTCTGGAACAAGTCACGATGTTGTACACTTGTCGTTTTGGTACACATTGCAAACCGCGCCACATGAAATGCACCCGCGATTTATGACATGTTTATTTTTATTACTATTAAAAGTTATGTTCGGGTCACATGAAATGCACACAGGAATGGAATTTACGTATCGTGACCATGCCACAGGAACCGTACCCATAGTCACGATGATTTATTTATTTATCGCGCCTATAGCAACTAGTGCATTTGAATCATTTTCTTAAACTATTTTTGAAATTTGTTGTGGGACTGCTCACTTTTTTCTGGTGGCCTATTTCATACCAAGAGCTCAACAGATGTTTACCAACCATCTTTTCTAATTACTTTGTTTAACAACCAAAATTCATGCCTCAATTAATTGATAATCAACTTAAGAATTGGATATTTGAATCACTAACGCATTGATTATTCACATGGGAAACTATTTGATTATTTATATGAGGGATTAAATGATCAAAATAAGTTTATACCTAATCTTAAATCCCAACTATTTCCTTACTGGGCCAAAATCCCTTTTCAGTGAATTAACTATTTAAAACAATCTGAAAATCAAAGATAAGAATGAACCTTTATATTCAGCAAATAAACTTCTTCAATAGATGAAAACACGCAGCTCCCAATGTTAACAAAATACATGAATCCCAAAGAATATTTTTTTTTCCACATTCTTGGAGCTTATTCCACTGCGTTCTCGAGGCTGTTTTGTGGTGTCATAGATGTGATTTTCGAGACTTTTTTTTTGGAGCTAAAACAATTGATTTTTCATGGTTATAGAGGTTTAATGAAGCATGGAGAAGGAATCAGTTAACAATGGTGGACTGGTTTCTTAGTAGTGAGGTCGAGAAGATGCTTGCGGCGCTTAGGACTATTTCGCCGCCGACTGTTTCTCTGTTTTTTTTTTACTATCCTCCCTCTCTCTTTTTGCGGCGCTGAGGAATATTTTGGTGGTTCAGAAAAATGAAAAAATAGAAAATTAAAAATATATATATTTAAAAAAGTAAAAAAGAAAAAAATAACGGGAGGTGGGTGAGTTGACGGGGTTGGGTGGTGCAGAAAAACGAAAAAAATTGAAAATTGGGGGGTGGGGGGGCATCAGGAGGGAGGTGTTGTAGAAAATAATTTACAGAAAATTGAAAATACAAAAAAAAAAAAAAAAAAAACTTTGTGAAAAATAGAAAAAATCCCGTTTTGGTTCT